GACATATTATGTTTAATCTTACTATGTTATTAAATATTTCAGTAAGTAAAAAACATTTCCAATCGAGTAAACCCAGGTATTACGCTAGTTTCACAGTAGTTGTACAAAGAGCAAACGACATCGGCCGAGCGATAGATTGTGATTGAATTTGTTTCGATACATTTTCCTTTATTTTATTTGAACGGCTGAACAAATATCGGACCTTTGTATTCGATGGGATTCAGGTTTATCGGGAGCAAACATACCCATACAATGTAATATTAATGTTACTATTAAATTAAATAAAACGTGCGTTTCTCCACACTGGTCGTGAGTTCTAACCCCAGTGGCACTTCACCCAAATTCAATGGATTTTCAACGCAAAATATTAATAACACGACTTAAGACTAAGCATGATTCACATTTGTCAATATCTGAATAAATAAATAAAAAAAATGAGTGCGTGTACTAGGTGTACACACGTAAGAAGTGAAACTTCTTTATTACCTTATTAGAAACTATTTCTTTAAACACAGTAAATTTTGATACACTGCCTAGCATACAATTTACAAATTAATTGCTGCAAATTGCGATTAGCAAATTTCAAGTCGAAAATGTAATCCGTTGTCAAACTTCAAAGTCAAAAACATACTATATGTCATATTTTAACGCCGATAAAGAAGTTTGACTGCGAAAATGTAATCCGTTGTCAAACTTCAAAGTCAAAAACATACTATATGTCATATTTTAACGCCGATAAAGAAGTTTGACTTCAAAAAGCAACATGGCGCGTAACGGAAAAATGTGACGCGTAAGGCAAAAATGTTACACTAAATTTTTTTCCAACCCCGATAAAGAAGTTTCACTTCAATAATAATAATAATATGTACTTAGTACTAAGTCGCAACTCTGAATCTTATGCTTAGAACTAAATATTGATATCATATCGCAGACACTACTGTAATAGTGTGTTCACTTACACGCCTAAGATTTAGAAGGAAACATCAAAATATCTTCTGTATTAAAACATTGATTATTTTCATAACAAGCAAGTAAAGGACCAGTCCACTATACCTTCCAAACCGAAAAAAATATGTTTACCCGTTAATTGAACCCAAGACCTTTGCTATAAACACATCGAACGAACCCAGCTCTTCAACCACATGCAGATATTAGATATTTATTATTATTTTTCTCAGTATTTAAATGGTAAAACCATGACTAATTCGCTTGTTCGTAATATGTAATTAAGAAACCTTTAAAAAATTGAAGTCACAGTCGTAAATTACTAATCTTTAAAATCCCGTGAAATTACTTCATAAATATTCACTATATCGACGGTACTAATTTGTCCCTAGGCAAAAAAAACAAAAACGCCGCCACTTTTGACATCTGTCAAATTTCGCGCGTAAGTGGGTGGTCGCCAAATCCACTTAATCCGACCTGTTAAGATAACTAATGAGTTTAAAATCTTCGAAACTGTATTCTAAATTATGTCATCTTCTAATCTGAGTCATTTAGTAACAAAAAATAGGATTAAGTGGATTCAAACCTTGTAATGTGACACTTAAAAGGCATTTACGACCGATGCGTCATGTTTAGCTTAGATTTAAGTGTTGTATGGAATATGTATTTTTTATTTCTACAATATTGAATCTTTACAGTACTAATTCGGCTATAGGTAAATAAAAAGTAAGTAAAAATATTTAAATTTGTCAGCCACAATACCAATACATATGTATATATATAAAGTACTAGCCGTTTCGCGCCCGCTTTGCTGGACGAATTAAAATAAATTTTATGTTTCATTATTTTATTTTTTTTCATATTTTTATTATTCTTCTTTTTAACTTCCCGCTAAGAAAATTGAAATATTTCGAAAATCGAGTTTTTAACAGATGTTGACGTTTAGAGGTTCTAGGAAGCCTCCCCGAATGTTTCCGCGGTGAAGTCCGTATGGATAAATTTTCATAAAAGTAAAACAGCAATAAAAAAATGAAGGTGGTAGTTTCATGTCGATACGATCAGTGGTTTAGGCGTGAAGGAGCCTCAAACGAAGACCATTTTCCTTTTATATATATAGATTATAAATTAATAACATATGTACCAAAAACAATAAAGCGGTAGGTATTAAAGCCATTTTACTTATTTGTCAGAATTCAATTATTATGTCAATCACCACTTGATTTATATCCACCATACGAAGTAGTTTTTCTAAATAAAGCCAGCTTGTTACCTAAAAGGGCATTATTAATGTACTGTTTAAAAAATGTTTCTTTTATGGCAACTATTTTTATTCGTAGTTTTTACATCCTTGACAGAATGATAACGAGTCTTAATAATTGTTTAAATGACAGACTTAAACCAAATCGGTGTGATTAATTAGGGCGCGGGAAATGGTAAAAAAAAGTGTCAAAGATGGCTAGTTGTCACATGTTTTCTGTTCTAAATTTGAAAGTTCCAAAATCTGTGCATAATAGTACTTAAAACCTAACTTTTTAACTAATGTTTTTGAATAGCTTATTATATTATTTAGGTATTGATAGAGCTATACTTACAAAATTGATTTTGTAAAATAAGATTAGAGTAAAAAAATTATAGCAATAATACAAATTATACCTAAATAAACAAAATTGGGAGCCTGTCGTGAGCAGCGCACCTACATAATTTTGGACCACGTCGGCTACCACCAAGCATCATCAGGATGTTTTTTCTGTGTGGCCAGCGTTTCAGTACGTATTCATTAGAAATCCTCTAGAACCAAAAGTTCCACGAATATGCCATAAGTAACCTGTCAAAATAGGACACTTATAATTACGACACGGTAGGATAACGGACATATAAAAAGTTCAAAAACACCAATATTAATAATGAACCTTCCTTAGAATAGTCTTTCTAATGAAGAAAATATACGTCACTCGTCAACCCATAAAACCCAGTTATCGTGCCATAAATATTTATCTACATTACTTAATGCACCTCAATGTATCTGTGGTGTAAAGCTGTCATCGACACATCTTCGCGCCATCAGGAACAATATGACAGCTATTTAATTTTCGAACGTCGATACGCCTGCTATTACTGAATGTTTTGCTAAAACGTTTTTGAACGTAGTTTGCGCGCACTTACTGAATGTGATGATAGATGTAATATCGTGCAGAAAAGTGTACGGTGGATAAAAAAAATACAAAACACATTTTCTCGTCACGTATATAAGGGAACCTAATAAATACATTACAGAAGGGATTGCCAATGTTATTAAATTTGTATTTTATAAAAGTTGTCAATGTTTATGACACTACGACCCAAGTTCATTATTTTTAGTACACAACTTTGTTTATTATTACTTAGGTAAATATTGATTATGAAATGATCACCTAATAAGGCAGACATAATTTAATCTTACTTTTTGTAAGTTAATCAAATTCAGCTTGCGTACTTAATATGTAGGTATATTTTTTCTTCATTTTCGTGTTATTCCGAAATATCATCTTTTTAACATAGACGGCCATGCTGCCACAACACACTAAAACAATGATTTATTTATTGGATATATGGATTTCAATTAGAGAAACATATTTCCAAATACTAAAATAGATCTAGATCACAGAAGATTGTTTAAAATGATATGTTTAATTTTAGTGCGATTGAAGAGTTTTTAACCTGACTGTACAAAATTCAATAATAAACTAATGCACTTATATTTAGGCCGCGTTACCCGCTTATAGGTTTTTATAATCATATTTATGTTGATTTGCCGTTGAGTAATTCTCAGTTTATTTGAGCAATTTGATGTACTGGCTTAAAACATTTAAGTGCTCCTAACAAATTACTTTCAGCTGACGCACAATAATGTTATAAATTTAGTTCATTGCTGTTACTTATCTTTATTGTTAAGTATATTAAATAGTTATATATCTAATAAGTTTGAATATAGTATATAATATGTTACAGTTCTCACTACACCAGGAACCCGGGACACATGTTTTTATGTAGGTATTAATTATTATCTATGTGTTCTACTTTAATAAATTTCTTTATTAAGTATGAGGCAAACACATCTAGAAAAATGAGACTCACTAGAAATAATTGCTCAGAAGATAAACACGCTTCAATTGTAGTATTACCTACATTAACCTTGTGTCATTATTAATTATAAAGGAAGTTCTTTGCTATTTCGTATGTAATTTATAAACATTCAATCGCACACCTACATAAATTAAATGATTTTTACTTCGGATATTCACCTAACGTATGCAAGGAATTGGAATCGTTTTCTGTAGCATAGAAAATTATAAAATATTTAATTATGATACCAATGGATTTACCTATGTTCCCGTTTCCACCAAAGAAGACGCACGGGCAATAATAATAATTTAAATATAAAATTGAATTATTAATTTTACTCTATAATATTTCTATCACCATAATGAATATTTTTGAATTAAGTTAGGTACAGTAACACTACTGTTATAAATTAGTGATAGGTACCGCAAGAGGCATCTATTTTAGTAAAGCAAAAATTTGTTTTGGTGTTTACTGCCATCTATAAACGAATTATGCTTTTCAATCGTTTAATTTTTAACAAACAGATGGCGCTTTGTGAGATAAACATACACCTAAACGTTTCCAGCAACGCAAATATTTAACTAATTTTGTTAAAAAATTATAAAGATATAAATAACATATTTGTATTACATGTTAATAAAAGAATATTTATACTTAAAATACATTGAATTTGATATTTTTTTTCCCTTCACGTTTGCCTTTGACATCTAGCAAATCATGAAAAGGAACGTAAAAATCCGCAGTGCTGCCAACTACTAAAAGACGGAAATAACTAGTCCCAAAAGAAACCTCAATCCACCATTTTCCCTTTGTAACTAACCGGTGTCCAAAACACGTGCGTACTATCAAGTTACATGGAATTCTTAATTGTTCGCGTTTAAATCTATATAACGACTATAATAAAAAAGTGCAGCGCGCTTTTATTTAACAGTCACACATCTTAAATAAACAAAATGAACACGGAGAAGCTGAAAAAACTGCAGTCACAGGTGCGCATCGGCGGTAAGGGTACTCCTAGGCGCAAGAAGAAGGTTGTCCATGCGACGGCCGCGACAGATGACAAAAAGTTACAGTCATCATTGAAGAAGTTATCAGTCAATACAATTCCTGGCATCGAAGAAGTTAATATGATCAAAGATGATGGAACGGTAATTCATTTCAATAACCCTAAAGCACAGGCATCGCTCGCGGCGAATACCTTTGCTATTACTGGTCATGGTGAAAACAAGCAAATTGCGGAGATGCTGCCCGGTATCCTCAGCCAGCTAGGCCCTGAAGGGCTCACCCAGCTTAAAAGGATAGCATCAAGTGTGGCTGCTCCAAAGCCTATTGACGAAGACGACGAAGTACCTAACCTAGTCGGTAACTTTGACGAGGCTTCAAAGCAAGAAGCAAAGGAAGTCATTACTGAAGAAAAGGAAAAAGAGAAAGAGGAAAAGAAACCTGAGGCCGAAACCAAAGTCTCCGACAAGAAGACAGATTAGACATGATTAGTTTTTAAATGCTCATTCAAAGTGAACGCTAGGGTTTCCAAAGCAGTGAGATGTGTCTCAAATTTGTTATGTTAATACACGTTTGAATTAATCATTTCTTTGATGTTTTGGTGACGGTGCCTTGTGGACTCATGTCTTTGGAAGCCTTCATCCATGCTATACCTTGCACTAACAATCTTGTTTCATAAGTGTTGTAAAAACTGTTAATATTGGCAATATTAAGTACATAAGTTTATTTGAGTCATAGATGTCAGTATATTTTAACTATGTAAAATCTGGTTCGCTTTCAATACAACTTAGATGCTCTTCCTAGAGCCAATATTATATAAAATATAAAAATTGAAAAATGTGTAAAACGGTTAAAGTTTTTGTTATAAGTATGTGACATAAACTTTAATCTCTGAATTGTGTTTTTTTTATCTTTTCTGTTTCCCTTTTTATTTAATTTACATAACAAACCGCAACTGATAGTAGGTATCAGTTGTTGTTTGGTATTTAAAAAAAAGTATCTAAAACTGCATCTAACAAACTATTTATAATGTGTGTTTCATTATTTTTCTAGGTATGGATTTACTAAATAATGATATATTTTTAAATAAAACTGGGGTCACAATTAATTTCTATTTAAGTTTTTCAAGAAGTGCTTGTATCCTGTCTTGGTTTACTTAAAAGTAGTCTTCTAATTATAATAAAATTAAAAGGCATTATTATATACAATAATTAAACTAGGTAATTTTTGGAGTTTTTTTTAAGTTATTTTAGAAATATGGAATGAACTTAATTGTAGTTAAAATTTGAATTCTTTGTGTGAAACTGGTTTAAAAACAAAGTAGAGAATTGTATGAGTTCACATTTTTTACGAAGGTTTCGACTACTTATTTCGTGATCACAGCTCACGCATCGTGACAAAAATATTAAGGAAGTTATAACTTATAAGTATTCATAAAACTATGAGCATAGTTGGACATTGGAATTAGTAGTGTTGCTCTTGCAGTATTGAAAGAGAATCGATATTTTGAACCGATATAAAAATCGAATATTGTACTAAAACTTTTTTAATTTATTTAATTACTGAATACATAGGCACAAAAGGCTTATAGCCAGGCACTAGGCAGGCACACAGCTATTGACATAAAGCTATTTACAGTAATTTTTAGGACGATGTTTTTGTGGTTATTTTATGAGTTTAAAAAAAAGACATCACTGTATTTAACTAGAACTTTAAATACAGCTTAATTAAATAAAATTTAATCATAATATATATAATACAAATTGTGACAGAAAATAAAAAAAAACACTATCAAACATGAAGGTTCTTTTTTTTTAAATATTATGGCAATAGTTTTGACTAATCAATGTTCTTTCCTACATATTTCCATTTTTCACTATTTTTCTTTACTTGCCTTGAGAGATCTGTGGAAAGATCAAAGATTCCATTTCCCACAGGTCACAGACTAAGATTCAACAAATTTCATTCATAAATCATAGTATATATTAGACTTAATTCGTGTTTTATTGAATGTTGTAATGTTTTTGGATTTTATTGAAATAGATAAATCAAATAAGCATTATTATTATTTAAAAAATATTACTAACCATGCATAATTTTTATTTTATACTTATATTGGATTCAGGCATGAGGACTGTTGTGCTGTGAAATAAGAAAACCTCCCCGCGATAGGTTGTCGAAGTAAAGGCGCCGAGAGAGTAAAGTGCAAGTAATTAAAAAGCTGAAATCTTTCTTAAAAATGATTGCTAGACCCTGGACCGAGGATCTGCCAAAGTGCCGAAATACCTGCGTAGCCTCTTATTTCTCTCACCTAGGCGATTCTAACTCTACAGACGATTGCTTATGTTTTTATTGCCAAACTGAAGATAACTCGTAAGTATTCGAATAACATAACTGAAATTCTTGACGTCCATGGAATATTATCAATATGCATAATACCATATTTGGATTTGGTTAACGCTTTATATTTAATATCAATTACAGATGCCTTTATGGTGTATTTGAGCCGCACAATGGTTTAGATGCGGCCAGGTTTATAATGCAGAGAATGGCTGCAGAGCTTCTGTTTCCTCCACCCTCCTTAAGCAATACTGATGAGGAAATAAGGGAAAGACTTAGGTATTCTAAACCAATATTTTATCATATTAGGTCTAGATATTTATTTTTATGTTTATCAGTATCTAGCTGCTATACCTTAATCATAATAACTAAAGTCTAAAGTTGACAATAATGCATATACATATATGCAAATTTATTTGTATTTTGCATAGATTACAGTACAAACAGAATCTACATTGTTTAAAGTTTCATTATTATAAAAAAATATTTAAAAAAAATGTTTAAGTGGCCTCAATTTTTCCTTGGCATACAGTATTACATTACATTTGCGATATTTGATTAATGAAAATTTGTTAAAATATCACTTTAAGTTTTTTAAATTGATGAAACTTCTGATGATTGAAATGTAGATTTACAGTTAGTAATTAGGTAGCAGTGCATTATGTTATGATATCAATTAATTTATATTTTTTCTTGTTATATTTCAGAAATGCTTTTATATCAGTAGAGAAAGCATACATAGAAAACTATGATGGAATGATAGCTGAACGGACAAGTCTTCAATATAGATTGCAAACTTTAAATGAAACACAAGTAAGCAATTGTTCAACCATTGTATCCTAACCATATTTACTTTGAAAAAAGTCATAGAAGTATCATCTAAATCAACTATCTGCCCTGCTATACATATAATTGTAGATCTAACATAATGAAAGTAATATATAAAAAATTTGTGTCATGGTGTCTAACTTCTCAGAATTGGCTTGACCAAATATTATGATTTTATATATGCGTGTGTAAATAGGTATGAAAATAGCTTGTTAAGTGTGCAGTTATGAAATGTAGCTAGTATATTAGACCTTTAAACTAATTTGCATTATTTTTGTTACCCAATTGATGGCACGTTCAATGACTAGCAATTTCAGTTAGTTGTTGAAAAATATTTTTTTAAACAAAATCATGTTAGACTTATTTCACATACCTTTCTTTATACAGATATCTCAAAACTGTGATAACATCCTCCATCGCCTAAAAGAAATTGATCATCACCTATCTGGTGGCACTACAGTTGTATTAGCTCTTGTTCATAACAATAAGCTGTTTGTGGCTAATGTTGGTGAGACCCGGGCACTCCTTGGCAGAACAGACGATAATTCGGTGCTAAGAGTTGTCCAATTGACCATGGACCATAGTTTGAATAATGAGGATGAGTTGTTACGTCTTTCACAGTTAGGATTGGATGTCAATAAACTTAGGAATGGTAGGTTTTTATGGATGATTTTATATTGATGTGAAAATAATATGGCCTTGTTTCTTATCATGATTACAATGTCTATTGAAAAAGAATGTAGTTAATGAATATATGAGTCTCTTTTTTAAGAAAAAAGCAGCCCTAAGAGGTAGGCAATTGATTTCTTTTTTACTTTGTTTTCTAGTTTTCAATAGAGTTTAAATGGAATAGAGGTAGACAAAAGAGTTGACCTCTACATAACCGCTATATTTTATGTTAACTAATTACTGAGTGTAGTAAATGTAATTCTTAAAAAAGAGGCTCCTTCCTAAAAGGCTAGCAAGGCCTGTGTGCCTATTGACATGAACCTATTTACAGTAATTTTAGGACAATGTTTTAGTGGTTATTTTATAAGTTTATTAAAAAACAAGACATCAGTGTGTTTAACTAGGACTATTATTTTGATTCAATATGCTTATTATGGTAATCGTAAAAAAAAAACTATTTATTAAAATTAAATATTAGTTTGTTCAGGTGTTTCTTAGAAGATATAAATTTTTTTCAGTGCAATATCTAGGCAACCAAACTGGAACACGTTGTCTTGGTAATTATCTAGTGAAGGGTCTATACAAGGCGTTTCCTAGTATTAGTGCAGCTATGTCAGAGCCTGTTGTGGCAGCTCCAGAGATACATGGACCCATATTGCTCGATGAATCTTGCAGGTATGTCTTTTTATAGTTCATGATTTGCTTTTGCTTTGTTTATCACGTGATTTAAAATAATAAAAAAGCCATAATTAAAGAGAAAACATGTATAGTACTTTAAATGACCTCTAGTTAAAAAAAAAATATGTATTGCAGGTTCTTAGTTCTAGTCAGCGCGGGAGTCTATAAGCGCATTCAAGAAGTCCGAGGCAACAGCGAGGAAACAAACAAACAACTCGCACAGAAAATTGTTGAGAACTTCCGTAAACAGTCAGAATTTACGCGTGTCAGTCAATCTGTTTTAGAAGAAATCGAAGATGATTTCGTTACATTTTGTGCTCAAAATAATTTAACGCCAAAACCAAATACGCATATAACCCTACTAATACGAAACTTCAACTTTCTCCCGCCAATTCCAAATGACAGCTGTCAGAAGAACGCCTCGGTTAGATTTAATCCGATAGTTCAATCGAAGTCCAACACGCTCTTGAACGAAATCGATTCTGAATTTTCAAATGATTGCGAGAACGATTCTATTGTTGACACGAATAGATCGATCGAGTCGACATCCGATGTATACCCAAATCGCCCTTATGAAAAGGATAAACGCATCAAGGGTTATGTTGATTTTTCATGTTATTATGAAAATGTGGCGAAAGCCCGTAAAAATGGTACCTTGCCAAGTTTTATTAAGTGATTTAATATGACCTTTTCATAGACAATTATCATAAGTGCCTTGCTTTTGACTCTTGGTGACTAGATACTACAAATGTAGTAATTATGATAAGAGATTTTTACTAAACAGTATTGACTGTCGTTTTATTAAATATTTATAAATTTTACGTTGTACTGTTTTATTATTTATTATATATGAATAAATCGAAAATTAAAACAATTTAAAAAATTTAGTTCCTAAAGTAATATCGAGTGGCGCCTATAATGTTTAAGTTAGGTCGTGTACATACAGACAAGCAGTAAAATAAGTTCTTCTATCACTCTGGTGGGTTCTGGTAGCGTAAGGATTTGGTTTGGTTACGTTTTCGGAGTTTTGAATAGTACTGCAGAGTCAAAATAACATATACAGAATATTGAGTTAAGATACAAAACAGTTTTTTTTACTATGTCATATAAATTTACCTTTTATATTCTTAAAGATGATTACAAATAGGCATGGTAAATAACGCCATCTATCAATGATAAAATAAATCGGTCTACTGTTTTAACTAAAGTACAAATTAATAATAACCAGAGGCCATACACCTTTAGGTCCTGTCTATCGTGATTTTTTTTAAATAGTAAAGTGGCGCCCCGAAGCTTTTTAAGATTTATACGCGTTGCAGACCAAGAGCTAAGGTACGTTAGTTTAGCTTAGCTCGCATAGCTGACGCAATTTTCCATACGTCTGTGCAGACCGCAAACTATGCGAACTAAGCTATGTGAGCTAACTAAAATATGCGAAGCTAAGTTAGTTGTGTATGCCGATGCGCAGCTACACGAGCTAAGTTAAGCCCCTCCCGCTACCCCGCACACCCTTTGCACATACTATGCAACGCTGACTGAGCTTTGGGTTAGCTGTTGGTGTGCACGCTATTTATTTCTAGCTTAGCTTAGTCTAGCTTGCTTGGCATAGCTTAGTTTCCTGCTGCTTGTTTCGGTCTGCAACCGGCTTGAGGGGGGCTTTAAGTTTTCTCACTATGTTTTACTTCACCGCGAGTGTTAATTGCCCGCATAGAAAAGTCCATCGGTTTTGATTTGAATGTACGAGCTCTAGAGTTGAGAGGCGCACGCTCAAGCCGCTAGGCCAACACTACTCTAAAATACTAATTTCATGTAATAAATAACAATTGCATTTTTAATTACATTTTATATATTGAATTAAAGACAATAGAAATACAGGTAAACATATATAATTAGACGGGTTTGTAATCCAACTTGCTTTCAAGTTTCTTGTTATCCGCTACCTTACGTACTGCTTTCATTAGATCCTCCTGTAATTAAATGAATTATTATATGTTAAAAACGAAATTAGATATTTTAATGAAATTTAGTGCCTCAATAATAAAACCTTGGTTGTGTCAATTTAAATGTGTAAAACTTATACGAAACTAAAATTGTATGATTTAATGTAATGTGTCTCTCTATATCGACACAACTCACAACAAAAGCCTAAAACTATTTAAATTGAAGATATTTTACTTAAATAAAGCATTAAAAATAAATTAATACATTATTAATGTGCATGAACGAAAAGAAAGTTAAAAACACAATAGTTAAATGTATAGGACAAATTTTCAAACGATTACAAGCATATAAATTTCTAAATCTGTTATAGTTTTTCAACTTTTTTACCAACAGGAAACAAATATCTTTATCGAATCCGGGACTTCCTTTAAGTATTACCAACTTATAAAGGTTACCTGTATAATATATTCTCTCTCAGCTCTGATTGCGAATAAACCAGCCTCAGTACAGACATTTCTTAGGTCAGCTCCGTTAAATGTGTCTGATAGTTTGACAACCGCCTCATAATCCATCTCGCCGTGTTTAGCAATCGGTGCCGCGTGGATTTTCAGGATTTCCAATCTGAATAATAAGTTTTGTTAAACTAAGCTAATACATTTATAATGTTAACCACGACGGTTAGGCGGTAATGGTCTAGTGGCTTAGGGAACGTTAAAGTATTACGTCACGCAAGTATTCTGTACTCTTTATACCTAAAAGTTAGCATTATGTGGTGTAAAGTACTGGAAAGTTGAAAATAATAATAACAATAATGTGTAATTCAATCCCCGCCCCGCATCGTAACGTTCAAAGGACCCCCCCCCCCAAATTTCGTTACGTAATATTTGAACGCTCCCTTAAGCGCCTATAGAAATTTCTTTCTATGTGCACAATTAGCATTTGCTCCTATAGTGAAGGCAAACATTGTGTCTCAAAGCCAAAAAATCGACGACATAATATGTCATTAAGCTGCTCACCAACTATAACTAAAATCTAAATCTATAAAATAAAAATGATCGAAGAAACGGATTCAGTATGAGTCTATACCTATTCAGGCAGTGAACTTTAAATTATTCCTTATTGCTATGTTACGTTTATATCCGTATTAATTCGTTACTTCACAACATCTCACGTAGGATGGTGCTCGGAATGGTTAAAGTTTCTGGATAAAAATGCAGTTGCAGTATCCTAAATTAGGATTTTTAAAAAATTTGATATATACAGTCTTAAATCGCGCGATTAGTCATTTATGACGGACCTAATAAAGTAACAATGTAAAGACCACATGATATGGCACTAAGATCTGAAAGCACACACAGGTTGACTAGCTAATTATCTATTATTATTAATACTATAAATACTAGTCAATAATAATATTAGGTAGAAAGATGAATGTTCATAAAAACTGTAGTGAAGAGTAAAAAAAATAATAAGAAAGGTAATCTATGGACCTGGCTTGCTCATTTGGCAGCGGTATCTCAATCTTCCTGTCAAGACGTCCAGGCCTCAACAACGCGGGGTCAAGCGTGTCTGGCCGGTTTGTAGCCATAATTATTTTCACTTGTCCCAGGGAATCGAACCCGTCCATTTGGTTTAGCAGTTCCATGAGCGTCCGTTGGATTTCACGGTCAGCGCTTGTACCTTCAGAGAAACGTCTGCCACCTGGAATTAATAAAAATAACTATACGTCGAATTTATAATATTCGTCTACTTGTTTCAAGTCGGTTAATTAGCAACATTTTCGTATAAAAATCAAATTTAGTGATTGACGTGGACGGTGTACTTACGACATCGGGTTCAGATACAGGTGAAACAATTATGTCGGTTAGGCACAGAAGGCTGATAACTCGACGTAAAAATATCATAAATTTCAGAAATGTGTTTGCCCAACAATTTCTTTTATTTTTATAATAAAGATTTGTATTATTAAAGACTTGAATAAGAACATATATAAAATACCAAAATTATGTTATTTAATATTCAATGTATACTTGGTTACTGTAATATTAAGAAATCTCAACATCTTTTTCTGATAATTAATTAGAAATTGATATACTGCCATTAGGTCAGTTAACATTACTATACACGTTCATCTTTTGGGGATTATCTCTTTGAAATTACAATTAAGTCACTAAAAAAATTAACTGTATGTAAGAAAGGAAAGGAAAAATGTTGCTTTTAAGTGGCTTATCCCTAGTTGCCCATCTGATATTAAAAAATAGGAAAATCTCACCAATAGCATCAATTTCGTCCATGAATATTATACAAGGCTGATGGTCTCGTGCGTAGTTAAACATCTCACGAATAAGACGCGCTGACTCGCCGATGTACTTGTCGACGATCGCTGAAGATACTACCTGTAATGTGTATTTATAAATTTTGAATATAATATGTTTCTGAAGATATTTTGGTATATATATAAAACGGAATATGATAATTATTATTTTAATTTTTTTGTCATAATTGTAACTGAATGTTTTAAATTATAGTTTACGAATTACGGAGGGAAATAGAAAAATATTGGATTTGCGTTTCCTAATTGCCATCATTTTATAAATTCTGATAAAAGCCGAGAGGCTGATTGCAGATGGATAAAATGTTTTAAATAACACAGCTTAGACAAGGGTTGCAATTACTTAAATTTCTAACCTTTAAGAAGTTCGCATCAAGCTGTGAAGCAACAGCTCTAGCAAGTAGGGTCTTTCCTGTTCCTGGAGGGCCATATAAGAGACAACCTTTCGGAGGAGTTATACCAACACGAACAAATAACTCGGGGTTCATTAAAGGCAGCTCAATTACCTGAAAAATTATTATTGTGTGTTAAGTTTTTATATAAATACTAGCAGTGAATTACGTTCCGCTTTATAATATGATTTTAAAATTATTTAGTAAATTCAACATCATGAAGTATTTCAATGACATGCCAGAAAGACAAATCCAAAAACACAAAAATCGGTCCAGCCATATTATTATAAATGGTGTAACTAACACAACTTTGTTTTAAATATATAATAAGTTTGAGTAAGTTTAGGTTTAAAATATGAGTTATAATGAAATAAGCAATATTTCAGAATAAAACTTTTCAAAAGACTCAGATTTTGTTGGTAAATATATGTAATAATAATTAACACAAAAGCTGCAAATAATAGTGCACAAACCTCTCTAAGCTGTCGTATCTGTTCCTGCAGGCCTCCTATAGCAGAGTAGGTGACATCTCCTGGGTCTTCATGGCTCATGTTGTAAACAAGAGGGTCTACCTGAAATCATAACAATGAATTAGTTATTAGTATTTTATAAAGTAGTTTAGTCTTTTTTTTAGGGTAAAAAGGGTTAAAAATTATAGGCTTCAAATTAGCACAAAATTCATGCAGCTGATACTGCACAATGAATTTATATCCTGAATCATTGGCAAAATTTTAGGTATTATTATTCACCTAACCAACCAAAGTGTCAAAGGTATAATACTTTATTTCTTTGACTATAAAAAAAAAAACATACCTCTCTTGGTAAATGACGCATGATGGTGAGCGTAGTCATATCTAATGCAACTCGAGTACCACCCTTTAGTTTGTTCTTGTCTAATTGACGCCTGCATCCCACAACATATCTGGGACCATTTGTTGCTTTTACAATAACTAAAATTAAACATTATATTTTAATTTTAACATTATGATTTAATTATGATAAAACTGTTAGATTATAGTATTTCAACCTGCTAATTATTTTAAAATTTGGTGTTGATACACAAATTTGTAAGACAACAATTGTCAATGTAATTTATGGTTGATGTATTCCAATTCTATATTATTGATTCTTCAGATTAACTCTAAGGTCAAAACCCATAAATAAAAAATAAAAATATTGCATTGTAACAAAGTATTTCTTACACTTTTCTTCAGTAAGTTGCTTCAACACTTCACCAACAATTTGACCCACACTCTGAAGGGCTTTGAGATCATTTTCACTCTTATCATACTGTTTTGTTAAATCTTTTAACTGTTCTCGCACTGAAAATAAAATATATCAGTTACATGGGATTCAAATACATAAAATATAACCGCAGCACCTTCATTGTGGGTGCAGAATATATAAAAGTTATTTTCTTAATACCATCAACTTAAAGGAAATACCTATGACATTAGCACAGCAAATATTTAGAAAGTCTGGCGCTAGAACAATGTCTAATAATTATTTATAAGGCACTATTGTAGTCTTTTAGTAAAATCATCAACAAAACCTATGAGATGATTCGGCATAAATTGATAAGTTTGGACCATAATACTTACTATCTTTAAGCCTTGACTCAACTTCTTTATGTTCCATCAGCTTCTTTCGATAATCTTGAAAAGCTTTTTCTCTTACTGGCTCCATTTTTATTCGTTAATATAATGGTATTTTAAAGTTAAATATAATTCGAAGCCAACAAAAATAATGTTGCTGATGAGAAACGAAAATCACCACAGATTACTTCTCTTTCTGAGTTCTGACTTTCTCAATTTACAATTTTGAAAATGACAGCTCGATGTCATCATAAAAACCTGTTACAGATAGTAAAAATACGCACAGCGCATACGGAGTGAGTAGTAACGTGTTAAATTTATTCGCCATTCGCTTTGTTACATTCTATCACGTGACATATCCTTTATAAATATCTGATATTGAATGATGAATATTTGGTTTCATGTAACATTTAAATATAGCGATGGAAAAAAGTAGCTAAGTTGAAAAAATTATATATGTACTTTACAAATATCTAATATTAGAATTTTATGTTTATCAAGTAACCTTTTTTTGGAAACATCCTCACTGCTTAAGAAATCTTCAATTTAAGAGATAAGATAAAGTAGTACAGTATAAAACTGCACCTAATTAAGTATCCAAACACTCGTGTGATGCTGATACTATTAAAACTTCAGCTAGGCTATAATGGCTTTAAAATACACACTAGTCTTTTAATACCCCTCATCATGCAACAGTTTTGCAAACTACTGTTAAAGTTTACTATTTTAACTTTATAGGAGTATAAATTATTGTAATCACTTTGTATTGAATTTAATAATAAGAATTATGGCTTTTAAATAAAAACGTGTGTTGTGAAGATAGCTAATTTCTTATTACATTATGCTTTAGGATAACATAAATAATTATAATAATTTTAAATTAGACTTTAAAATCACGAGCTCGGACTAAACAAATTAGTTGGCTGGTGTGGCTCATTATATGGAATATGTATACACAAGCATGAGTAAATATACTATAACATTATTCGAGCGAACTTACACAAAATCCTTTAAAATAGGACAGCAGTCGACAATTATTTGCAGAAAACTCTCAGCTTTTTAAACCATTACAATTCGTTGAAGCAGTTTTCTTGAAACACAAATTCGTGCTTACTTGGATCCTGGAAGAAACTAAAATAGTTCCTGCTACATCTTATAGGCCGGGAGATAGTGACACAAAATAGTGGGTCATTTGTACCACTATGGCGGTTCTTCAGGGTTCTTATTACGCAAAGAAAAAGTACAAATGACCTACTATTTTGTGTCTCTATCTCCCGGTCTATTAAGCACATAGTCCCAATTAGTACAATATTATATGCAAACGATGTCATTGGCATCAGCAAATTTTCGCTAGAAAGATGTTTCATAGTAATTTTGATTAGACAAGTAGACACTTACGACCATTGATCATATCACGGAAAAGAAACCTCACTCTCTTCTACTCTTACGTCTAAGGTCATAAACCCGAAGCAATGATGGTCTCACAGTAAATCGAACCTAGGACCTCCAGGTCACACGCATTTTGCCAACGGAAGCCTATTTCAACCATATTTGTTTTGGCAAAGATTTTCCAATTTCATTATCATTTCAAGCTAATAAAGTTAAACCATTTACCAGATTCAGTGAAGCGCACAAATGCTGACCGGATCTAAAATTTTTAAATCAAACTCTTTATAGCTAGTTTCACAAAGGAAATTATTAGAGTTGACTTGGCACTAGCAGTTTGGTCAGGCGGAAGTGACTTTTGAAGTCGTTTGATTCATAATTTTTTAGAAATTATTTGACGGAGTTGTGAGTGATTGTACTACTAGTCAAAGCATACACCCTAAGTTTAGTCCAACCATATTCGGGTTTGTTAATTTATTAAAATATAAAGCTAAATAAAAATTATAGGAATCTCTTTCTAATAAACTGACTTTTATTTCACTACCCGTCCGTTCTACGTCCTTGATAACCGGTGGTGTGGTAATGTTAAATTTTACGGTAACTTTTGTGGTTAGTATGGTACCTATAGGACTAAAATATATTTTGATTCGACAGCCTTTGATTAATAGAAACAAATCTGTTCTGTGTAACAAAAGTGGGAAAAATCAAGTAAAAATAATAATATTATCAACACCTAAAACATACAATTGTTGTAGTCAAAGTTAACTTTTAAAAAGTATGGGAAATGGTGTTATCGAATAAAGAATTGAATTCACAACAAAAAGTGATGTTTTGTTTGAAAATAAAAGATTTGGGGCGGAAGTTTTATCGTGCGGTATTCGGGACAGCAACTTTTTACAAAAATTCAACTGATAATGTTCCTTGCTCGGTTACACCGTCTTTTGTTATTTTATCTGTTGAGAATTTTAATTTTCCATTTGCAGAAATATTTTCTCATCACAAATAGAAAATTAAGGATAGTTTACAAATTGCGGATTCTATTATTTCATTTATTTAAAAGTATCACAGGTATATAAAAAAAGCATACTTTTGTCAGAGAATCATTAATATCACTATCTAATAATTATATATGTTGGAGCAATAACGTTACTATCAACTGCAAGTTAAATCACGATTTTGTTTTACTATTACAGCAGACTATCACATACTCTTGTTAATTTGTATTAATATTGGAAAATCAAATATACCGTATAACGGTTTTGATCTAATTAGACTTTGATGTCATTAAATAATAATTACAATGGCAGCTGATACCAGCGTCATTGCTCCGCATGACTTTTAATAAGTAGGAATAAGACGTTTAGTCCCTACTGTTTAACACTATTAGCATGATTGCATTAGACATGAAAAAATTGTGAGGACGTGCATAACAAAAATAAGTAATATTGTATGTCTTGCTTTGTTTAGCCTGAAAGTCATGGTATATTAGTTAAGTTTACACGTTCTGAACTTTAAATTCCTCAAGAATTCCATTCTTCAGTATTAATGCATTACGACAATTGTATTTTGTTTATTGAATAAATTTATATTTAAACTATAAACTAATTTGGTACACGTATACAGCGAATATTGAACACAGAAATGTAATTTTCAATTACTGCTGCAAGTTTAAGGGAACATTTCCCTCGTGGCGGAACCTACAACTTAGTTTTGCTACACACGGTACTTCTATTTATCGTACAAATGTCTATTACTATTTTAGTAAAAAACAAATCGTCACATGTTTTTTATACTCCAGGTCCGGTGGATTTTGCTTATATTGAAATTGTGTTCCATTTTCATACAAAAATAATTCCTTTAACTAAGAATTATGAATTATAATGTCACAAGTTTTTTTTGTATAATAGGGGCACACGGACAGGAGGCCGACCTGATGTTCAATGATAAGACTCGCAAGTGCGTTGCCGGCAATTATTCTAATTATGTGGACTTTTTATGACGTAATCCATGTAAGGTTTTTAAAGTACTGAATGGTATTCAATTCTTTAATTATATACAACATAAATCCAAGAAGTTCATGAATTATTATGTTCAATTAACGATACAAAATTAGTAACGAATATTATTGTACCAGTACCATACGTTTAAGTACTATACGAGTACTGTATAACTGTCAAAACTAAAAAATAAAAATATATGGTAACTTATTTAAGTTTGCCCCTAACACTTACAATTAATATAAAAACAGACGTTCCATACAAATAGTTAATAATAATTAGTCTAACTGTTCTCCGTTCTTAAATGCAGAGTGTAACAGTGCTATCTGTGGTCCATTGTGTGAACTTACATGAAACTCGCTCATATTGATTGGATGTTAGACGTTTTGTAAGATATTTGAGCTAAACAGATACCATATAATTTACACAATGCGTCTTACCTCAGCATTAAAATAAAGGCGTCGGACAAATCATACCTGTATTAAATGACGTAGAGACCATACTAGCTGGCATAAATAGGTGGCCGTGGCACTATTTATAATATGAAAATGTTATGGCATAAGGTTGTGTTTGACATTCTCTAACACAAAGCTAATCCAACAGAGTCTGCAATGCGGCCGACTAGTTACTGACGTATTCACCCGCCTTTTTGAATATCTTCAGTAGTGTCAAGGATGCGCTAATGCATTTAGACATTGGATAATAAAAGAAAGAAAGAAAGGAAGAAAAAACTTTAGTATACAAATAATAATAATTAAATTGCACTCTAGGATTCCCTTAGGTAGCTACTCTCTTATGACATATTGATGGTACTTGACAATAATTTCTACATAGCACTTACATTTAATAATTAAACTATTGTTGCACAATAACTATATTTTCCGTTTCAGCATAGAACTGGTTGAGAAGATGTTTAAAATTGTAAGTGAATGTATAAAGTTTTGAATCGTTAGTGAAAATTTTCTTTTTAAGAAAGTGGTTAAAGATGAAAATTGAAAGGGCCTGAAGGAGTAGCGTTGGGCAAAGAAAGTGCGTTTTTGGGTAGCTTAAATGTAGGTTTGCGTAGTGGTCGGTGTTTGTTACCAAAGTCTGCATATTGCTATTAAGTATATTTAGTTATTTATTTATTCATTAACAACGTTGCATTAACATAATAAAGATTAAACATAATTAAATAAAAAGGAGGGTAACTGGCGGCCTTATCAGCGGCAACGACTGTGAAAAATACCTAAATGTATTAAATTAGATAAGGTAAGCAAGAAGTACTAAAATACATAATACATATAGTTATTTAGACAAAACAAAACAGGAACAAAAAAACGAAACTAAAAAAATGATACATTAAACAATAAAAAGTGCACATGAATGACGATAATTTTAGATTTTAGATCAGTCTCACGTCAGTTATTAGTTAGTACGAAAGTTAGGGATACGATGTGGACAGTAAAGCTGTTGCCTAACCGATAAAGTTTTCTTTCATTGTACAATTTCGAAGTTGAGTAGCGAAAAGGTTTCCTATAAGATATCTTAAGAATGGCTCGTTGGGCACGCTCAATTTTCAGCATTGAAGACGATGCCGCTCCACTCCATACCGATATGCAGTAAGCTGTAAGATTATATCGATATTTAACGGACTTTTGACGGCTCATTGGTCTAGTGGTTAGTACCCCTGACTGCGAATCCAGTCCCGGGTTCGATCCCCGGCTGA